TTGTCACCAATGACGGTGTAGAGGCGAACAGCGCATCATGATCCATCCTGGCAGTGTCTTGGAGGCAACCACATACAACCACGCACAACAAAGCGACATCTTAGCTCAGTCTGAGTCTTCCAGACTTTTACCCAGCGGCCATCCAGAGCGTTATCAATCTGGTCTTTGGGAGCATTGAGCAGTAGGTATCTCATCATACACATCAACGCTCTTCATTGATCCCATTTCCTTCATCATTCCAGCTTTCTCTGCTTCTGGTGAGAACTCACTCTCCCAAGAAACGGTTCCGCCGGTCTCATGTCCTGCTCAAGTTCTCCAGGCCCTGCGCTCACACACTTCTACTTCATCGCCATTCTTTGCAACCGCTCTCTCGGCTCCAACAATGGACGGCATGAAGCGCACTGAGCCAATCCAATTTCCATCTAGCATGCTTCGAGCTAGGCTCAGTCGCAGGAAGATCAGGGTCAATCCGGAGCGACTTGGCTGGAGTCTCACTCGCGGATCCTTCAACATGCCTCTTCAACGCCTCGCGACTCGACATTGAACTGTCATTAGCTGCTGCCTCAGGCTCTAGACTCTGGAGATTCACTCCCTGCATTTTTAAGCAGGTCCTCAAGAAGATCAATCTCGTCAGCGTGCTGCCCAGGCTCAGGCAGTCTTCGAGGAGCACGAACCTTTCCAGCAACACTCAAGTCAGATGGTAGCATAAAGCTCGTGGTCTCTTCTCCATTCGACGTCGGCTGCCATGGAACAGCAGTCGAATTTCCAGCACTCCGACATTCCACTGCTGAGACAAAGGTTTCCTCTTCAGCGAGCGAATCTTGATTTCTTAAACACGCCTTCTACAGCGCCAACAATCGACTCATCGGCCTCGGTGTCTTTGCCTAGCCAAATGCCAGTGAACCATTGAAGCGCAGCCTTTGGCACTCTGGCATTGCTCTTCACATATGGCCTCAACAATCCAACCATGCAGTGGGCCTTGATAGTCCTTGCCCCATCGCCGTGAGTAGGCAGTCTTTCCATCGCTGCCAATCGAATAGGGATTTAGGAACCATTGAGCACGCTTCACGGACAACACAAGCAGCGGCGACCCGCTTGCAACGTTCATGCCTGACGCTGTGCCCAACAACAAGAACAACAAGAACAACAACAACAACAACAACAAACAACAACAAACAACAACAGCAACAGCAACAGCAACAGCAACAGAAACAGCAACAGAAACAGCAACACCAGCAGCAACAACAACAACAACACCAGCAGCAACAACAACAACAACAACAACAACAACGCGCAATTGTCCATACAGCGTGCGATGCATGTGGCCAACGGATCCCATTGATTGAGAATGGCCTTGGCGCTGCATTCAGCCACAATCCGCCCAGGCTGGAGCACACTTGATTTGCAGTCGCTTTCAACGCCGGCTCTTTGTCATACTGGATCACTCCGCAGGCGCGACACAGTTCAAAGATGAACTCCTTCGGTTCAGACGCGGCATAACTTTCATTGCCGGAAGCAATCTCTTTCGACAGCAACACACACGACATTCCATAGCCAGTCTGAATATCTGCTGCACTCAAAGTCATTTTCTTCGGCATCTGAATCACAGGCCGGCGATCATTCTTGCGAACAGCTGCAGTCAGCCTTCCTTTCGCTTTCACGCAGCGCGGACATCACGACCTGAACGGCAGATGCGTCAGTTCATGCAGACGCCGTTCACGCTCAGCGGGCTCTCCCGGCGCTTTATTTAAAGCATCCGCGGTTTGATTGCATCCTGTCTTCAGTGACTTGCTCAATCTCATCATGATCTGGACGATCCAATGGCACAGACAATGCGTATCCACGCCACTTGTATCCCGGTCGCGATCTTGGACGTTCACATTCATTGATTGAACCATCTGGTTGCACTTCATAAGTCCAGATGTCCTGAAAACCAGAGTCAACATTCAACGAGTCCTCAGAGTCAAACACTTGGACATATGGACCAGCCCACAACATGTCACTCAACAATCCATCAACTGACAGCAGCGTGGATGGAACAGTTGTCCCCGCATCTCATGAAGCAATCAAGTCCAAGATCTGGGCAACAAGCACCAACGATCTGCAGTCCTTAGCTGTCCAGTCCCAGGGTCATCTCAGTAAAGGAGCTTTAGCAACAACTCCTTCATTGGATTGTCATGATACGTCATTGACCTCAGTAGAGGCCCAATCTCAGCGCCAGCACTCGGCCTTGTTAGGAACAATTTTCCTAGTGACAATCAATTCATTCTGAGGCAAATCTCTAGTGGGCAAATCAACTTGTCTCAGAACAAGCTGAGTTGCATTATCATTTACCGAGACAGCCTTCTTTGTCTTGGGCTCTTGCTTGCCAGTGTGTCTGACATCTTGCTTACATGTCAGTAGAAACTGCACTCGAGCACACCACGGGCTGAGGTCAGTCATGTGGCATTCTGCAACAACAAAAAAGTTCACATCACGCCAGGCGACATTCGATCCATCACCATACTCCTTATAGGTGATTCTTTCTCGTTTCAGTGGGACAGGCATTGCTGAGCCCATTTTTATTCTGGGTCAAACCTTTCCTTGCGCCATCTTCTCACACGCCGCCGCACCCATCTCAAGTTAGGCTCATCCAACATCCATTGATCCATAGGACCACTGCCAACTTTGACAGTGTTTGCTGCTGCAATCAACATGCCAATCTTTGGCAAGCGATCAATCGACGGATGAAAGCAGTCACAAGCGCCCTCCAATCCAGCCAACAAATCCGGCAAGCACTCAGTGCAAGTCTTACTACGCGAGCAACCTTGTACGGGATGACAGTCGGAGTCAGATACACCGATGTTCCTTGGCGACCGATCGGCACTGCATTCCATTAGGATCAGTCAACGCCAAGTAGTCCTCAGACATGACAGTCCAACAGTCCTGCAATAGGAAACTCACTGCACTCACCAGTGGGAACGATATTCCCCGACACACATAGCATTGAACACTCAATGAATGTCCATTTCCACAATCAAGTTGGACAATCCTCCGACCAAGCACCTCCAGTGTCTTTCCTGACAACCTCTTCAACATTGGAGATTCATCCTTCAAAGGCACAACGGGTAGTCAGATGCAAACCATTCCGGACAACAACCCGCACAAGCTCCACTGTCAGACTGTCAAACAAAATCCATGAACACTCTGTCAGTCCGGCTTGCGTGTAAAACTCACTCAACTTGTCACCAATCATGTCACACTGTTGCAGCGCCACTCTGAATGTTCGACAATGATGGCAACTCATCAGGCACAACAGTCCTTGCGCCCAATGTTGCAACCAGTAAACATGCTCCAATCATCAAATTTGTCAACAGTCCAGGCTTAGCACCACTCCTAACACGCTGAACAGTTGTCACTAAACCAGTTCCAGGATTATTCTGCGACGTGCTCGAAGAAACCATCTCCGGACTAGGATCAGCAACTAAGGCGGCGACACTCCGAGCACCCTGTTGCTCAGTTTGAGGACCACTCTGTTGAGCATTCTGCTGTCCACTGCTTGAAGCGGTGCGATGCGCTGTCCAACTTGGCCAACTCCAGTCAGCACCGTCATTCCCTGTATCATCCCATGACCAATCAGTCTTCCATGACCGGTCATCGACCGAACCAATCCATGCACTCCATCCTGACTCATCATGGGAGCCATCACCACACCATGTCCAATGATTTGACCAGTCTTCTGTCTGCCCATTCTCTCCGCTCTCATTCTCTCCTGTAACCGCATTGACATTCTTCGCTTGAGGGCATTCCTAACTCCAGTTCGCTTGAAGGCATTCCAAACTCCAGTGTGCATTGCTTCCACAAATTAAACAATTTTGTCCTTTTCCATTCTTTCCCTTTCCTTTGATTCCTTTGCCTTTTCCTTTGCTCTTTCCTTTTTCCTTTGCCTGTGAACATTCCTTTCACTCCTTTTCCTTTCCATCCTTTTCCACCTTTCTTGCCTTTACCTTTCAGCACTCTTATGTCCATTGGATGGCTTTGAGATTTGGCGGAGACTGAGCGCTCAGCTTGCAGTGCCGGAGCGTGCCAAGGCCACGAGCTTATGGAATGAGATACTGTCATTCAGGTTGCGACCTGCTCACCTTGAGAGTGATTTGAGTAATTGTCTGATTGTGAGAACAAACATGAGAAGACCACTAGTAGGCCGATTGATGATGACTTGTTGATCGCGCTGCTTATGCAGAAGACAACTGGCCCACTGCAACATCATTTGAGATTGCGCATTAAATAAGTGACGACATTTCGGCAAGCGCTGGATATCGTGTACGCCTCGACTGAGAGCAAGCATTTGGCTGTGCCCACCACTGTGCATGCATCCAGCCAGGGGAGTGCTCTGAATGTTTCCACATCGAACAGTCGCTCTAGCTGAACCAACAATGATCTGGGCCACTAGGTGTGCAATTGTCTTGAAGCAGTCGAACCTCCCAGCCTCATCCATTAGCACTTTAGCGAATGGCTTGTACAGTCCTACATATCGCTGTCAACTGCCAACTCCAATCTTGCCACTGGTCAATCTCAACCTCTTAAATCTCACCATTATAGGTGGGAGATGGAAAGATTTTGATTTCACCTCCAATCGATCTGGATCCACAGACCATTCTGTACACAGTCTACAAGGCACTGAATCTTCAAGTGCTCTGCTACCATGTAAAGTTCAACAATCACAATACATCAAAACAACCTATCGATCACAGTTGATCAATCAATCACTCTCCACAGTTCACAGCAAGCTTGATCAATCCTTTGTGCTAGCGACAGCAATCCAGTCTTGAGCCAAACAAAATTTGGTGTCATTCATGCATGCTCACCATGCGGCATGTAGTCCAGGTCATTGTGGAACAGTGTCATCTAACACTACCACCACCGCCACCACCGCCACCACCACAGAACTGTCGGCTTGCCTCCCTGACCTTCAACCCCCGAATCCTCTGAATGCCCTGCAACATGGACAGCTTCATATCCTCCTCGTCCTTGAAGGTCTCAGTCACATCCTGTGCAGTTTAGGGCCCTAAGAGCGTATGCAGCTCAAAGTTTTTAGGCCTGAGTTTTGGGCCCGGGAACGGGGCGGTTTCTTCAGGGAGATGCATGCCCAAAATGTTGTTCTCACACGCGGAGTGTTGGATAGAGAAACTGGAAAGCTACTGTACCCCTTCCGTAGAAGTCCGGGTTGAAGCAGCATCCATCAGAGATATAACTGTGCCATGATGCTGGCATGCACACGTGTGCGCGGGGCTGGAGCTATCATCAGCATGTTTGGGGGCTGATGGTTCAGTTTTCTGGTCGGCCTTTACAAAAATCAACAGGGCAGGCACGCTGCTTGACGAGCATTCCTGCTTGGTTGGATCTAGGCTCCCATTTAAGGTGCTCGTAGTGTCTGGTGCTGTTACTGGTCAGCCCCATCAGTGTTCAATCAAATGCCGGCATTCGCGGATGTGTCCTTTGCAGTAAGCTGCTGATGATTCTGTGACATCCTCATGGCAAACCCTCAAACATCCAATGAACAATACCCCTGCGACGGATTCAGAGAAGAGATTGCGTGAAAGACCTTCTTCAGCGGCCAGATCCTATAAGACCCAGTCCATAGCACGCTTTGCCTCCCACCTATCTCATCCTGCACGGAGTTCAGATCGAGGACCAACCAAATGCCAAACACGAGGAGTCCCGAAAAAGCCGTAGAACCAACGACCTCAAACCTAAATCCCTTTGAGAGGATGCACTTTGACACGCTTGCGGTGCCTTCCAAAGATTTTCGTAGTTGAGGCACTCGGCGGCATACTTGGGTTGCTCAGCTTTGAATTCCTTGGTTGGGAGGGCTTTGGGGTTGCGGCATGAAGCGAAGGAATTAGACTTGCGGCTCACTGCTTTGAGGATCTGGATTTTGCGTTTGGGGAGCCCAGGATCAACGAACCTCCCTTGAAGCCCCACCAGTATTTCTATCAATCCTCTTCAGTTTGGGCGAGGGTTTGCATCAAAGCAGGGTTTTACTGTGTTACCCTCTTTAGTGTGGACAATCAGGACCCCCCTTCAGGACACCGAAATGAACCTTGGGCGCAGGATGGCGCAGGTCTTTGGGTTTTTCAAGTTCTGGTTGTACTCCAGCTTTTCAGGTTTGAGTTCCTGAAGAGGTGTGGGCTGGTGCTTCGGGTGAGGATCCCGTGCGCTGCAGCCTTCAGCGGCCACATCTTAAAAGAGGATGTTTCTCATGGTTGCGCGTGTAAGGTGAACGCATGTGTGCAGCCTGTGCGTTTTCTACGCTGTGCGGTGGTGTTGTGGGGGTCGTCATTCTTTTCCATAAGCCCTAAACTAAACCCTAAACTTTGCCCTAAACCTTAAACCCTAGACTCCTAGACCTGAAACCCTAAAACCAAGGCTCGGCCAGCTCCGGCATCTTGGGCTGCGGGGGTCGCCGGGGAGGCTTCATGCGCAGAGCCTCTCAAAGGGTTTGAGATCTGGAAAGTTTAGGGTTTAGGGCTTGATTTGGTTCAATGACCAAAGGAGGGACTGGGACTCAGGGCTTGGGAGTGCAGGGTTTCGGGTGTCGGGGTGATTCGGAGGCTCAAGGCTTCAGGCTTCAGGATACAAACGGTCCTGGCTTCCCATGAAGGGCTCGGGTCAAAGGTGAGGCATTCAGGGCCTGAGACCTGAAGAGAAACATGAAATCAGGAAATTCGTGTCCTCGGTCTGTCCTGGCGGCTGGAAGGGTTGGGAAGGAATGAGAGGCAGGTTTCTTCAGTTTGGGGTTGGCAGTCCTGCTACTGTTTCTCGCAGGGAGCCTGACCCGGTTCGTCCGCAACATGGAGCGCTACACAGCCCATCTTGGCACCACACCATGCAACTCCAGATAAGGCTGCGTAGGTCCATGTTGCGCCCAGACGGACGCATCCCCAACGCAAAAATAGACGCCTTTCCTGAGCCGACAACGAGACTGGCTGGTCCTGAGCCTCTTCTGGCTCCTGTGATCGGCCAGAATAAGCTACGCAAAGTAGGACGTGCACCTGGAGTTACAAGAGTGCTGTTTACCACTTCATGCTGGGAGTGGTCGAATAACACTCAACGAAGAGCCCTATCCACATGACCACATCGCCTGGATACAGTCCATGAACTCACATCTCCAAGCCGGGACCATGCAAACCGAACACCTGGGGTAGTCCGACTCAAGCGCCCCACCCCGTAAGGAATGCCGCAGGCATCCTCTTATAACTACGCAAAGGCGTTCAGCAGCCTTTTTTGCAACTACAAGTTCGAAAACCTTAGCACATCAAACCCAAACCCTGCATTGCCAGGCCTCCGCCAACGACAGAGCCTAGAAGGGTGCATTCCCTGCCTCCCTCCCCTGTGCCCGCTTTAAGTATTAGACCCCTTTGTGCCGCGAGGCCCTGCCACCTACATGCACTGTCCCAATGCATGGGCAGCATGGTCTGTAATGTACTGTAAAGGTGCAAAACAAGAGGAACAGGCAGCACACACTATGAGTAGTCTACCCAACACAAGGCCTCTACATTTACAAGGCTGTTGGTGTTAAAAGACGTTTGTCAGGGCCCTTCGAGGTTCGAGGTGTAGGTCTGGGCTCGCTGGTTCCGGGAACAGGCAGGGCCTGTGTATACGCGTATGTCCTTAATTCAACCTTGGAATGCTCTTCTTCGACAGTGCGTTTGGCCTGCCAGCCATGGAAAGATTGCATCCGGCCCCTGTGACACACGACAGCCACAGGTCTAAAGATAGCCCTTGTCTAACATCCTTGTAGCACTGCTATGTTGTGAAGGCGAATGGCCCAAACACAGGCAAGGCAAGATGCATGTTTGGGGCTTAGCGGTCCTTGTACTGCTACAAACCATGCGGACAAGCTGTTTGAATCCTCTTTTGAAAGTCCTCAAGTTGTCCGCCTTGCTCTCCTCCTTCGGCATCTGTCCCAAAAATTCTCCGTCGAAGTCGCTGACATTGACGACTTCAAAGGGCGCCCCTTCAAGCGAGTTTAGTGGTTGAAGGTTCTGGGGGCGAGGTCTTTGTGCCTAGGGACATCAATGGTAAATAACGAGCGTGTACATCGCATAAAGGGCTCGGCTTGAAGGACAAGAAGCGTGCAACCGGCGCTGTCAGTTTCCAGATTGAAATAGACGTCGGTCTCTCAGGCCAGCAAACTGTTTTAGGCTTGAATGGTGGAAGGGTGAAACTTCGTCGAGCTTCGGAGCTCGGTGACCTTGGCCTTCACAATTTTAGTTTCGAGCGTTGAAGCCAGTCGGCCAATTTTGCAAGCTGACACTAAGGAACTTTCGGGACTGTTGTTGCAACCTTCGCATTCAGGGCCTTGCCTTCCACAAGCACGGAAATCGCGCCTGGCACCCTTCCACATCGTCAAAAAGGACACCAGATTTCTAGAGCTTCGTTCGTGCTGGGGACTAGAGAAGTTTTCGAGCTGGATTGAAACCAGTTTTTGATGCCCTTCTGCCGTTGCCGCATGAGCTCGCTGCTGCATTTTCCAGACCTTCTTTCAAAGCCCAGAACCCATGAAACTGTCAATTCTCAATTTAAGGAAGCAAGCCCAGAACCTGAACAGCTTGAACCGTAGACAGCTGGCCTTTGATGCCAAGAGGGGTCGCGCTGTTCGTGACGTCGGAACAATAAGTGCCAATGCACCACTTGCCTGGGAACTGCTCAGGGTACTCGTTTCAGGTAGATCTGCCTGGCAAGTGGATAAGAGCCAGGTAGATTCCGCGCATCGGTACAAAACAGTTCCGTAATTCCCCCAGCAGGCCCAAACACCGCAAACCATAAACCCGCGAAGCGCAATCATCCGCAACTGAAGATTACATGGATTCTATTCTATCAGCTGCGATCAAGCTAAATGCAGTGAAGGGGCCTGATTCTCGCTGAAAGGACAGCTGGTGTCCGTTTCCACCCTCCTGGATGCACAACCCTCACGCGTTGTAGGGCAAGGATCCCAATCCTAACCGATGGGGAAGTGATTTGTCTACTTGAAACGTCAGACCTTGTGCTGAACTATGCTGAACAGCTACTCTTGACACCGCTGGCGTCTATAAGTTGCGCCCACATAAACTTGTCGAATGGGAACTACTCTGCAACACTATTAGGAGCTAAAAAGAGAATGACAGAGATGCCGTTTTGCAAGTCTAGCCCTGGTCTCGGTAGCAGCGAATACCTTGTTACATGTGATAATCGTATGAGACGGCCGGCCGGGACAGTTAACCAGCACAACAGCAGCTGAATGCAACTATATACACGGTTGCACAACCATTTTTCAAGCCCCTGGCTAGACTCTCCATGGCACTCGCTGGGCATGGAGGGATTATGCCTGGGGGCAAGCCTCACACTACAGAAGCTCAGTTAGGAGCCAGACAAGCGCACCTACTCCGCATCCTCCCTCTGAACTGCACTAAACAGTAGCGTGCTCCACGTTTCAGCAACTGTACTGCGCAACAAGGTATACCCTGTCACAAGCCACGCGCCGGGAGTTTAAGCATAGCTTAGCCAGGTATGACCATGAACGCTCAGAATGTGTATGGGGCCCTATTTGCCGGGCCGAAGACTCAGAGAGCAAGGGTCAAACTTCACTCGGCCAGTGAGGTGATCGCGGCTGGTGGGGCAAAAGACGCCCTCATGGCGGCCTGGTTGGAGTGGCTGCGTACGGAAGATTAACAGAGGCTGAAGGATCAAGATATAGAATGAGGATCAATGCTTTGAGGTGCTGAGCTTGACATTTTTTTGCTTGTATGTTGCGCGCACCAAGTTTAGGGCTAACGGTGTAACAGTTGCAGGGCCGGGGTGGCATGCTGAGAACCAGAGCTTTCAACTGCCGGCACAGGGTAACAAAGCAACTGTGCAATGAACAGCCAAGCGCACTCAGTTTACCCTCCGAGCAGCACAAAAACTCATTTGAAACAACACAAAGTACCACACCCTGGCAAAACCAGGCTAAAAACAGAGGCAATCCTGGCTTTTTCGCCGGTGGGCACGCTGAAAATTAGGGCACGGCCCACAGTCAACATTTGTTTACCTGTGCCTATTGGCTTCTGTGATTGAAAGCCGCTAATCTCCCACTGTCCTACCCACGCGGCACTGCCAAATGTAAGAACTTCATGCCCGCTTGAAGGATGCCAAGCTAGCATCTGCATTTGCACCGGACACTCCTGCAGCTTCGGGGCATCATGCACGGCTAGACGCCTCACTTACACTTCCAATTTCTCATCCCCATTCGAACTTTTCATACATCTGTGCATCGCCTGATCCAGTGCCAAGATGCTAACTAACTCCGCCAGCTGCCCACGGGGGTCAAAGCTGACGGGAGCGCCACCCGCTTTGCAGCATTGATAGCCTGAGACTCAGGCTGTTGAGGAAGGTGCAGAAGTCGTCGGTTGGGGGGTCTGTGCTTCAGAATATATTTAGCCTTTCGGGCGCGCAGACCAGCAGGGAGGATATAGCGGATAGCGATTTGGTGGAGTCTTCTGGATTTATTTATACTCAGCGCAGCAGGAGGGAGTTGATGAGCCATTTTCTTGAAAGTCACAGCTCATCAGTACAGGACAAATGCATTTTTGGATGCCATCACACAAACATTCAGACTTCTCGGCAATGATAGTCGGCGAAGAAATTCAAGGTATGGATAAGGTCAATCAAGATCAAGGTGTTTGGGCACCCAAGGTTGGGGCTCGTTTCACACACTTAACAGGGCACCCGCAACAAAGAACTGGCTAAGGCTGCAGGCCGGTCGTGCGGTCAGCTGGGGGAGTTTGGGCTCACAGTTAGGGTATACGTATAATAACGGGCAAGAACATCAATTAAGAAATCCTGGGGGCGCCTCTGGAAACGCAGGCATGTCGTGGCTGTGGGGTGTCACTGCAAGACATATCTTTATATTGAATATCTTATGACCGTTCGACCATGTGTATTGAGGTTTGGGTGCGCAATTCGTGTGGCTGCTCAGGGCTCCTGTTCACCATCAGAAAACCTCTGGACTGGCAAGGAAGGCCTGCCAACACTGACCTTCAACATTTGCCCTCCCCTTGCAGCAGCCGAGAATGACCGACCATGTGCATGTGCTTTGGTTGCTTCCATTCTTGACTAAGAATGCCGACCCAGCAACAACGGAACACCCGTTTACGCTTGGACCAGCAGCACAACTCAGTTCAGACAAGCGTCGTACACGGCCCCACTTGCCTCCCTCTGAAAATTCAAAATGGAAGCTTCCAAGAACCGCGTTTTGCCCGCAGCTGACGTGCATCATTCGGATTGGCTTTGCCCTTAGTTCATCATTCTGTCCAAGGCAACGAAGTGACTAGCATGCACAATTGGTGCTCATCATTGCTATTGATGCTGCGGTCAATCTTTACCGTCACAACAAGGCGCCTCATTCCCTGCGAAGAGTAGGCAATGTAGCACTGGCAGACAAGCAGATGTCGGCGCAAACCCTCAAAGTGAAATGGGTTCACTTCGAGGATTTACATAAGAGGCCCGGGCAAGATCAGAATGAATTTCCTTAAGGCCAAATCTTCAGGCAGCATGAGGCACGGGGAAAGGGGGCTCACTGGGGGAATGAGGTCTCAACAAACCCCACCATGACAGGTGCAAGCCGAGGTCTCATGGGTAAGGGAGAAGACCTAGACGCCGTTCCCCACCAGGCAGGAGTCTGAAGGCAATCATTTTCACGATGATACTAACCGTCTTTCCACTCTTGCTACTTTGGCCAGTACTGCATGATTTCGCGAATTATATGCCAGAATGTGGTGCTCTTCTTGCTAGGGGTCCAATTGTTGATGGACTGTCCGAAGCTGGCAATCTCCACCTGTGCGCTGTAGTAGTCGAAGCATGAGCCAAGGCCACCTTGGAGAGTTTAACGCTGCAGACCGCACGTTTTCAGCCAGCTGCCTAGCTGTCTTAGGGTGTTTGTAAGAACGGCATGAAACCGAAGAAAAAATATGAGCCCATGAGAGAAGTTCAGCTGGAACAGGCTGTTGAAACACAACAGAAAGCAACACAAAGCTGGAGAAGCGTAGCAAGAGAAGACACTGACCGTTGAAAGCAAATGCTGTTTGGCAGGAGGGTTGGTGGCACTCAATGTAGAGTTTGGGTTGGGTACAGTGAGGGCATGGAGTTGAATGATTCTAGGATGGACACCCTAGCGGCAACATTCTGCGGGGATTGCTTCAGCTTGACAAACCTGTGGCGTGACAACTCCCGGCTCTGTGTACCACTGGATTGGGTGCTCAGTGAGACCTCAACCCAGATAGAACATTCGGGAGGAGGGGAGGAATGCGCCTCTGTAAAAGCTAACTACCCACAATTGAGCCAATCAAAATCTGAGCCGCCGATCTTGCTGCACTCGTAGCCTCAGTATCTCCAGACAAGTTTCTGGGAACCTCTAGCCTGGTCCCCCTAACGTAAAGCCTTAAAACCCTAGTGGCCTGAACTATTTGCCATGGGGCGGTAGAGGTTGCGCCCGGCCTCCAGTTTGAAGGCTGTCAGGCCTTCACCCTCGGCACCTCTTTTTCAGGCACGTACTGGGTTTCGCACGTCGCGCATTGAAAAATAATTTGCGCCATACAGCTGCAAGGTTCCCTCTTGCTGGTTGAGGTTTGAACGGAAACATGTCATGCGTCGTGCTACCCAAGGCACGCAAGCTTCAATCTTTGTATGCCAAACACGATGCCCACGAACCGCAGTGCAGGTTCAATGCCACTCAATAAACACACAGGTACAAAAAATGACACACGTAGAATATGTTCTCCGTGAAAGCCCAGAACAAAGGCATGAGCCTTTTTTATGATGCGCGGTCGGCAAATTTGCAAAGTCTGATACCTGTCCAGGCACATTCCACATAATTCTCCGCAAGGAGGTGGTTCCAATCGGGCCAGTTGGTCGTGGTCTTTTGGCGCACGATCCCGGTGTCCATGAAATCGCCGAACCTCAGCTTCGTGGCATGTTCTGTAGATATCTTTCCTGTCCTACAACAGGTGTCAAGGATGACCATTGAAGTCGACTGGTGGCCGCTAAGGATTCCTTGTCGGGGACACTCTGGCATTTTCAGGTCTAAGATGGGATTGGATCTTGCAAGGTCAGTCTGGCGATAATGCTGGGTGTAAGTCTCGCTATCAGATGGGTTAAGCATGATCGCTGCACCATGCTGCTTGGCATCCTGGTCATTTGTCCTTGAAGAGCAAGCCTATGCCACCAGTATGGCTGGAACCACAAGTAAGAGGTTCCCAAATTTGGGCCACAGCATGGGCATCAGTAGCATACCCTAGACGCTAGCCTCAGCACTTTCTTTTGTGAACAGGTGGCCTCTGAGAAATTCCATGCTTTGGGGCATTTGGATGACCAAGCCCCTGGCCGAACAAGAGGAGCAAACTTGCATGTTGTCTTGCCAGTGGCTGCGTCGCCTGGACAGCAAAGGGCTCAACAAATACGATTGAATGGTGCAAGGCTTTGACCTCTCATGGCTAGGTCTCCTCTCGAACTCGAGACAGGGTCAGTCACAAGATTTCACAGCGCAAGACCCACGCTCCAGATGCATTGTAATTCCGAAGCAGGGTAGTTTGAAAAATTTTGTCACGCAAATGCTGATCTGGCTCTGTAAATGCTTCAACATCAGGAGCTTCCATTAAGCTAGGACCAGGAGCTGAACGCGACCATGTGATGGCACTGCTCTGGGAATGCTTGCCCGGGCTCTGATCCTAGAGTCGGAAAACTCAAAGCATGCATGCCGTCAGGGTCACCACCCATTTTCCATGAGCCGCGACACGACAGTTCAGACGAAACGTCCCTCAACGCTCACCAGTTACGCTTATACGTGTGGCATGCTAGATACACCTCGGCCCTCTATAACAAGGCATGCACACAAAACCTCCATCCCATGAGGAGTCAAGAAACTGGGATGGTCTCACATCATTTTCTAGCTGTCTGTCACCACTGTCACCGGGTCTCTTTTGGAGGTTGCCAAGGTGCATAGAATGAGTCCTTAAATTCCTGAACTTCGAGACCGCGGACAGCAGCCTGCAAAGAGCTGGCCGAAGTCCAAACTGCTCAGCGCGCCGCTGGTCCCGCAGTAGGAAGAGTAAGGCTTGTGCAGGTCCTCCGCCATAGGCTCGAATGTTTCTTTTTCAGAGTACACTGGATTTTCAGGCCTGAAAATAGTCACAATCACGACTCCGCTTTACCTTACTCGCGTAGGGCTTGTGAAGGTCCTGTGGTGTGAGCAAATCTAAAGTCATCATCTATCTTGCTGGTGGCGGTTGTGCTCAGTCCGCTAGTACGTGCATAAGAACATCTGAGCGGCTAGTGCATCTAGTGATCGGGGAATGCAGCAAGAAAATGCTAAGGCCCCTGAAGTCCCTATAGGTGGAGGGCTGGGCTTTGTGGCCTGAGGTCGAGGCGTGGGTGACTGCCCCACACAACAATGCGGCTCGACCAGGACAGAAGCACGCCATACAGACATCACAAAAATTCGAACTTTTTCAGCGAAGGGCCTGACTTGACCTTGCACGTTTTGTTCAGTTGCAGAGCTCCAACTTAAGGTCTGAAATTCCTGCTGGCGATCCCAAACCGTTCCACAAGTTCAAAGTTGTGACAAACACACGGCAGAGAATTATTCTCTCTGGATCCCCTTCTCACAAACACATCTTGTATTCCCGAACTTACTCTGCAAACAAAAATGGGCAACGGACAGAAATCCCCTCGGCCATGGATGAGATGGCAGCTCGCACCTGTGTTCTCTCATCTGCCTCGATATGGAGATCCCACATATCCTGTGCCGGGCACGTGTTAAGGGAACAGCAACCTGTAATCATGCAGACGCGCCCCAAACTCTTCCACATCATACAGTCTTCATGTCTCCTCGGCTCATCAACAAAGAAAGCCTACCCCTGTCACAATAGTAAAGACTTCTTGGAAATTCAAGTGAGAAAATATGATCAACATGGACCATCCCCCTCTACATTCCGCCTCTACCCTGAAGAGCCCCATTTTACATTTAAAACGGGGGGTCCCGGGCCAAATGGCTCTGTAAAATGAAGGCCCCCAGGGTCGGGCAGTGTTCGCCGATCACTGTAAAATTGGGGGGGAGGGGGGGGGGTTCCCGCATTTGCATGAGTTTGAAGGGCCCAGATTTGTCAGCTACGTTTGGGAGGCAGCACTGTAAATGGTCTCCGGGTGCATGACCATCATCAACCCTCATGACTCCTCATTGTATGACGAAGACGATGATGATGATGGATGATGATGAAGATGAGCTACACCCTAAACCCTAAGCCCTAGGCCCTAACCCCTAAACTCTAAATCTCAAAACCCCTACGCCCAAACCCCTCAACCTTAGCCCTAA